CTTTTTATCTTTTCTTTTACATTCCTCATCCACCACCCCAGTGTTGCTAAACTTACCTACTTAATCTACCTAGCCACATCCCCTGACACATCTAACAACCTTCCTTTGGGAAAATATAAATTCAACACTTGGTTCTCACCAAGCGAAGTGCTACCTGATAGTTCTATGTGGTTGTGGAATCCCCTTTCCTATATACACACATACAAACCGTCAACAGTAACTCCATTGTTGATCCTGTATGGGTTGTAAAAAGTGGATGATTCAGGGTTCCCCGAGGACACCCGATAGACTACCAAAATTATCTGGTTCTCGTGTATAGTAGTCAAAGGTCTTTAGGACAATGACAGGTGCACGTGGGCCAAATAATTGAGGTGGTTCTGCCATAGCTGGTATCGGAGCTCTTACAAATTAAAAAGTTTTTGAAGAGTATCAAAATAAAAATGCTCTTTAATCTCCCTTATGCTTGCTGTAGTGCCTCGTGAAGACTTTCTGATGACTCAATTAGAAGGCACCGAAAAGATTTCAACACTTCTTCAGCAAGTCATGTGGAGAGTCAAACTTCTTCGACAAAGCTTTGCTAGTGCTATTCAACATTCCGGCTGGTGCAATGAGTATAGTATAAAATATTGCCCTATATAAGTAAGTTATGTCCTGCTGACGTGTGAAAACGTATGGGATGAGCATGCATCATATCATCCATATAAGGTTAAAATATAATCGTAATTTAGATTTCCTCCTTTCATTCTATGACAGCTATTCTTCTTTATAGTTGTTTTGTCCCAATAAATCTCGTCATGTACCAGGTTTTTGCTAAATAACCACCCTTGGTAATCATCGCTCCGTAAGTTCCTAATCCTGGGGGAACTTCTTGATGCACTTTATTTACTATGCCAACTCAATACAGAAACCTGGGACTACTCCTTGACTTCTGAACCTATGCATGTGTCATGTCTTGGCTTCTTCTACCCTGACACATGCTATTTCCTTGATTTTGATAACCCGACATGAGTTGATTGAGAGTTACTACAATTGTGTCCTATGGTGGTACCATGATCCGTGACTACGGTACAGCGTTAGAACCTGGGGTCTCCAGTGGATCATGACCATAAGGAAATACTATTGGGCGCTCGCTATTATCGGGGTCTGTGGTCGTGATCCAATATAGCCCACAATTAACATGACTTCTCTCTCCTTTGGACCTCCTTTGGAAATTCATGACTGTGCTTCTCCTGAATTTCCTAATTCCTTGTTAAATACAACCTTCCTTCGATCTCGGTTGTAATTCCCAAACCAACCCTTGTTGTTTTATGAACTTCTTGTAACTTAATGTTCTTGACACATTTCCTTTTCCATTACTTAACCCAAGGCCTTTGACATTTCATAATCTCGGGATGAGATTTCTTTAAGGGGGATGATTGTAACATCCTAGATGTTAAAGGCTAATTAAAATTTTGATCATGAGCATCATCAAGCATAATTAGCAAGCATTGAGTCACTAATGCATTTCATGTTTAAGTTATAAACATATTCATGTTGTTTATGATGTGCTTTAGGTGATACATGAAATGTTAACAAACGTCAATTAAGGTTCTTTGTGATTTTATGTATGTGAATTTGCTTAAACAATTAAAATTTTGTTAATATAAACTTTGCTGTTTAAAGTATGCTCCTGAATGTAGAATCAAAATGTGATGATGTTTCTAAGTCAAACATGTTGAAATTGGACTCCAAAGATTGAATTTAATGTTGTTTTTCCCTCCCTTAGCATTTTTTTCCAAGTCATGGAAATCAGTGTTAAAGTTCAATCTTGGGAGATTTATTAAATGAATTTTCATAAATAAAATTTGTCCAACTTTTGTTCCATTGCTTGGTAGTATGATTGAGCTATGTGAATAGGTAATTAGTTGTAATGATTGATTAATGGTTGCTCATAAATTAAATCCCAAAGTTGCTAAGCAAAACTGCTATTAAAACATGAAACTGAATTCAGTTTTTTAGTTTCACTGAACCCCTCTTTGGAATTAAAAATCTTCAAAACCATCAAGTTTTTCGTGTTAATCCTTAAAGCAATGTGGGAGGGCACGTATAGATGAACAACTTTCGTTCTTGGGGTTGATTGAGTTGCTGCACGAAATCATGAGAAAAGGAGAGGAAAAGAAGGAGTTTCAGGCGTGAACAGTAGCATCGGCAAGCAGCTACCACGTAGCTGCTCACTGATGGCCGCCGCCTCCGTTTGCCGCCTCAGTGCGCGCGGACACACACCTAGCCCAAGCTAGAGTTGGCAAAGCTGGAGAAGTCGCCATCACCCTCTTAAGTGTGTCGCAACCGGCCATCCTCTCTCTTCTTCCCTTCCTGCTCGCCGCCGACCGCCTCTGCTTGCTGGCGAAATTCATTGCCGTCGTTCCACCTCTGCCCAATTCCACTTGGCCACAGCCTCGCCTCGCCCTTGCGCTCCTCGCTGACCCACTCGTATCACCTTTAGCCATTAGAGTGCGCGGTGCGCCTGATTCCCGTCGCGGCGGTCCGCCATGGCCGCCATGGTCACCTCGCCGTGGCTAGGTTTTCTCGGAGCATCCCTCCCCCCTTGTTTGTTGCTTTAGCCTCCTTGCAAACCAGTGATGCTCATCGCCCCTTTGTTTTTGCCAGGCACGCGCCGGACGCACCAAAACGTCGCCCTCGCCGTCGGTCCACGCCGCCGCGCTCGTCCTCGACTCGGCAGCCGTGTTGGTGCTGTCTTCGCCTCGACCGAGTAGCCTAGCAAGTCGAGGTGAGCACCCTGAGCCTATCCTGAGCCCTAGTTAGGCTGGCCAACCGCCGGAGCTACGAACCTGCCGGCGCTCCGTCCGTGCTCCGCGCCGCTTTGCCACCATGGCCGTGTCCGAGCTCGTGTGAAACCCTAATCTGTTCAACCGACTCCCTAGATAGGTTCGTGTAGTCAAGGGGAGCACGTCGGTGTTCTTCCTGTCGCCGGAGACCTCACCGGCAGTGAGCTCCGTGGCTTACCCGACGGCCGACCCGTAGTCAAGGCAGGCAGGGTCTGGTTTGACCTCGGCCCCGCATGTCAGTCATGGTGGGTAGAGAAGGGGTGGGTCAGAAAAGTTTTTGGCGCACACTACAAGAAACGTGTTAATCCGTGATGGATTTACAAATTGTCCGAATCGACAAACGCAATCCATATGATGATAATTTATTTTTCGTCATGGTTGTGCACCGGTGGATATTCCCGACCCGTTAACTCGTGACGGATTTATCCGGATCGTCATAGTGTATATGATTTTAAATTCGTCATACTCTAGTTAGCCCCAAAACAATAGACCCGCTATCAATATTTAGTGCAAAGAAAAAAAAGTGATTGCAAAAAGAATCAAACCTAAAAGATGATTTGTTAAATTATTTGAACTAAATAATTTTGTTACTTTGTTTTATGTATATGGTGCGTATGGCAAAACTAAAAATATTTTGCATATATATGGTGTGATGGGAAAAAAAAAGTGCAACACATAAAAATTGAACCAAACACCTGTAGGTAATAGGTAACCAACTACAAACCATTGAGCTACTTCTTCTATGCGGCCAAATGTGGACTTAAATAGTTTTATTTAGAGTAAAGTCCATGGCCGGTCCTCAAGCTTATTGAGTGTGTCATCCCGGTCTCTGAACTCAGAAAGTATGTCATTCCGGTCCTTAAAATCTGTTTGGGTCTCATATTGATCCAAACGGGTACGAGCAGTGCACGAGCGGGAGATGGACCCAGGAATTGTGTCATTCCGGTCCTTAAATTCTGTTTGGATCTCATATTATCCAAACGGGTATGACCGTGCACGAGCGGGAGATGGACGCAGCAGGTGCTTAGGTCCGAAATTTTCCAAAAAAAAATAAAATAAAAAATTAGGCGAAAAGTTTGCCAAAAACAATGCTTTACCAACGAGCTAACATCCTCCATGTGTTGGTGAGCATTATTTCCGTATTATCACATACGACTGCGCCTAGTCTTCTGATTGGGCAGCTGCCAGCCCACCTTACCCAGCAGCGGTTTTCGAAAAACTTTAAGGCCACGTTGGGTTCCAACAGAATGGACCATTCTAAGCCCCGAATCATTCCGGCGTTGTACAGATTAGTGAAGAAATCGTACGACACGGAACGGATCCATAGGAACCGAATGAGCCCTAAAGAAGGAGGATCGAACCCTCAACGATCTGAATGCTAGAGACGTTCTGTACCACTAAGCTACACATGTGTTGACAATAACTTGTCAACATTTTGTTTTGTATACTCTTTTGAATTATTCAAACACGTGGACCAAATTATACCAAAATAAAAGTCTGAAGTTCTCATATATTCAAATTCAAAATTTTGAATTGTTGGGCTGAATTCTAGGCCTATTCCCATCCTTGACCCATTGCAGTTTTTTTTTTCTGTTATCAAGTAAATAGATAAGGTAAATTGTGAAGGTCCAAACAAACTTGAATGAATAAACGACCAAAACAAAAGTTGTAGATCTCAATGAGTTCTAAAAATTTGTAGTTGACGACTTCTCCATTTGAAATCAATTACTATCCCAAGATTGTGTTTGAAGTTCTCATATTTCTGAAATTCAAACTTTAAATTGTTCAAGTTCGAGTAATCCCTTACAAAACTCTTCATTTTCCATCGATTTTAAGAATGTGAGGTCAAATTAAACATGTCTTCTTATATATATTTTTTTCTAATTTTTTTATATTGGTCGGCATCACATGTGGTTCAAGTGAGAGTTATTTTATGGAACCATGTAGAAAATCACATAAACCTTAGAAAATAAAAAATTACTTAAAAATTAATAAAAACTCCAGAAAACATCATTTAGGTAACCTAGTTTGTGTAAAAATTATTAGGACAATGTAAATGGCAGAATAGAAATCAAATATAATAATAACTGTGCAAATGATCCGAACTGGAAATAAAAGGAAAAAACTTTAAGGCTAACAGGCCAACATAACCAGAGCTCGGCCCAAATATCAAAATCAGCAGCCCAGTTTAACCTCCATCTCAACCCTAGGCCTCTCCCGTTCCTCTCTCACACGCTGCCATGGCCAACGCCCCTCCCTCCCTCTCCCTTCCTCACACTCTGCCTGGTCGACGACCGTGCATGGGACGACGACTCGGCAACTGCGGTGGCGGCCACGGACGCCGAGCTGCTTAAGCTGGCCTGGCGCAACGAGAAGGCTGCGCTGTAGATCCTTCGCTTCAAATCGCCCCTCAAATCGCACGCCCGCGAGCAGATCCAGCTCCTCGTACGCTTCTCCCTCTCCGTCTTCTCGTTCGCGTTTCTCCGCTCCACCTCCTGCCTCGATCTCTTGGCCGCGAGCGATTGGGTTACTTGCGGCTCTGGATCTGACCGGGGTTCCCTCTCCTCGTGTCATTTCCAGGTGGAGATGTTCGACGACTTCACCGTCGGTGGCGTTGACGACCTCATGGTATGGCTGCTTCAGATCGAGAAGTGTATCGAGTGTTGGTGATGAGTGGCATCTGTCCGATTCGCCGTGCTCGGGCGCTGGCTGTACCGGATGCGACGGCGGCAAAGCAAGACCATCGTGTGCGTCTGCCTCATCCTCAACGAAAAGGTGATCCTCTTCCCTGCTAGTCTGTAGAAATAGTCAATCACAACTATTCGCCACTTGGTTACATTAGATTGTGCATATCAGTCTACGTGATGACTCGAAGAGAAATAACATGTACACACACTTATATTTAGTCACTACTGTGATGACTCAAATAAATTAAATCTGTTAGAAATGATAACTGCACTGCAGGCTCAACTGTGTCTTCGTGTTGTCAATTTTGATATTCCTATGAACTGATGCGATAAATGTAGTCACTGTATTATCCATTTTGATATTCCTGTGAATTGGATAGCTGCTGATGTGAGCATAGGTAGCTTCCTTTTGAATAATTTCAGAAGCTTTTGATATTTATTGTGGTTGCTTGGAATCCATAAGTTCTGAGTGCCAATGGCAAGCACTACAGTTCATTTGTTGTCTAGTCCTATTCTTCAATGCAGTATCTTGTCTGATAATGACAGTACTCTTTTACCTGAATCTTTGCGTAACAACAACAGGGTAGTAAGGTGCGTGGCTTGAATTCTCAGGTGAAAATTGCAGCTGCTAGTTTATCTCTTAGGTCTGTACATCACTAGCATAAGCATGGTTAATTTCCTGTGATGTCACTTTGGTGAATAAGAGCTAGACTGTTCAAGCAATATTTAACTATTCTTGTAAACTGTAGTTTATTTCCTTTGTTGTTTTGTTCATTTGCAGGTTGCAGGCAGTTTGTATATCTGAATCAAAATTGGTCATAAGTTATTTTTACATCTATTTAAGTTCCATACCAGCTGTTTATTTTCTTTTCTGTTTTGTTCATTTGCAGGCTTGGAGCATGCAAGAAGGGAAGTGATGCCATTTGCAGGTTGCAGTACTGCTTGATGGCTGCTACCTGCAATTTGGTCCGATGGTGCTGTATGTAGTTTGCTCATTTTTTCTTTAGTTGCAGATTTTTCAATCTGTATTATGGTTGCAGACTTTTCAATCCGTATTATAGTTGCAGATTTGTCAATTTGGTTTGCTGGTACTCCATGACCGTGCTGCATGCAATTTTGGGAACCTGTAACTATTTTTTTGTTGGCTTATGTGCCATGGTGGATTGCACAAAGTAGTGCTTGATGTAACTTTGTATCTCATCTTATGTGATGTTATATAAACCTGAGATGTTATGTAATTGAAAATGAGTTGTTTGTCTATATGGGCTGTTGTATTATGTTTTATGTTCTATAATAATTGGCTGAAAAATAAATTGAAAAATGGGCTGAAATAGGATGCAAATGGGCTGAAAACAGATTGAAAATGGGCTGAAAATAGGTAGAAAATGGGTTGAAAATTGGCTAAAAATGGTCCATCTTTGACGTTGGGCTGTTAATAAATGGGCTGAGATGTGCATGTCATCATCAACGTAAGCATCCATGATGACGTGGTAATTCTTCTATGACGTTTATTTTTTGTCACAAGAAATGGACTTGGGCTGGGCTAACTAGGCCTCAGGCTCTACTATGATATTTAAAATGGTCACCGATTTTGTTAATCCGTGATGATTTTCGACAAAATGTCACGGAGGTTAATCCATGACGCTCAATCCATGATGATATTTGAAATCATCACAGATGTTGCTTGGTGACGTTTTTATATTGATCCGTGACGAAAAATTTTCATCATGAATTAACAGGATTCTTGTAGTGGCAGAAAATGATTTTTCGATTTTCAGAAAATGCTAAATATGCTGATAATTGTTTAATTCATAACTAATTACTAGGAATGTTAAAAATATGAAATTTGTTATGTGGCGTTGTTATGACATGCTCTAGCATGGAAAAATATGAATTAGCCACAATCAGTTGTTTTTGTATGCTTAAAAATTACCTCTTTTAATAAAAAAATGATTGTTGTATGATTTTTGTAGGCTAAAATATTAAATAATTAATCATGAAACTTTTTGTGTAAATGTCATGTGCTAATACCTACCTTCACAAAAAGCTTGGTGTGTTTAAATGCCTTTTCCTCGATAAACAAAATGCTAAAATGAATTAGGAAAATACTTAAATGGTTTGGTGTATTTTTTAGCATTGTTTGTGGACCTTGGAACATCCAGATTTCTATTGTTCTTTGGCAACTTAATTACTTTCATGATTTGATTGTAATCCACTTCTTTAATAATAATTAAAATGGTGTAATTAAATATTTAGTTTGTCTTTATGAATTCTTTGTAATGATTATGAGTTAAGAAAGATGTTAATCACATGCTGGTCCATTATAATTAAGTTAATCCTATAACAACTAATTAACTTGTTAGTTAAATAACTGAAATACTTTTATAATAGTAACCCTAGTTCTTTAGTGAAGGAAAGTTGTACTCAACTTTCTTAAGTTTGATAAAGTTCATCCATGCACTTGTGTGTCTTTCATCATGCATTATGGCATGCATTCCATCATGTTAAGCGTGCATCATCTTATTACGCGTAGTGCATGTGAGTGAGAAGGTTCATGTTGATCAAGTTCTAGAGAAGGTTCGTGCATCGGTGGTGTTGGTGCCAAATTGCCTTCAGTGATCCCCTGTGGAATCTAACCTTCTCCGCAACGCAGGCAAGCCCTGGAGCATAAAACTTCTCTTAGTATTTATAAATCTTTATTACACTTTAAATCTTGTGAGATGTGCATTAAGTAAATATGAGTTGGTCGAAAACCCTTGCTGCATGATTACCTTGAATTCAGGAATTCTTAGCTATATCCCACTAGTATGTGTAGGTCGATACCTCTAATGCTTAGAATTCAATAGAAGTCGAATAATGGTTTCATCGTTCATGAGAAATAGGATTTACCTTGTTCTTCTCGGCCCTGCTTTTGGGTCGTGAGAATACCATGATAATGTTAAATGGAGACCAGGTGGGACTTGATATTATGGTAAGTGTTCTTGGGCAGACAGGCTCGCCTGGTCGTGCTCATCGTGCCTGTATCGATTAAGGACCACTCGTTGTTGGCCCTTGGATCAAGATTTTGTAATACCGGCCACATACTCTGGTAAGCCTAATACCTTGGCTAATCCATTATGTGAAAAGACAACCGCGCACTGGGAGTGGGAGATGGCAAGAGTAGCAAGTACCCACCCTATGAAAACATCCGGGATGACGTAGGGCAGTGGAGTACGTTACCCTCGGGTAGTGCGGACCGGTTCACGTTTTGGAGGATCCGAGTGAGGGTTTGCTCTACGGTAACAGGAGACTTGATACTCGCGCCATCATCATAGTTAATCAATGGAAACATGGTTACTTATGGATATGAGATAAGATGAGATGAGATGACTAATGAAGTGATTGATTTAGAACAGGTGCAAACTGGATACTGATAATGACTTAATGTTGAGCTAAAACATTGAAAGTAAGGATAAACTTGTAGTAAGCTTTTCTACAAAGGTTGTTCTTCCTTCCGACTTTCCCTTAAGCCTTCATACCCTTGGAGTCTTTTCTTTTAGTCAGGTAAGTCTTGTTGAGTACCCTCTAGTACTTAGGGTTTGTTAACCCATGTTGCAGGTTCTGACTTGTGCTGGTAATCAAGGTCATTGTTGGTATTTCTTAATGCAAACAGAAATAATCCGCAAGCGCACGGAATTACCGTCGTAGCACTTCACCCAAAAGTATTTAGGGTATCATATTTTCCACAGGGAACGAAGGTATTCCTCTAGCTAGTTCGTCCAAGGACAACACAAGGGTAGAGAAGGTAGAGGTTGAGATGGATTCCTATGGTCACTACTACCGAAATGTTAACCGTGGTGGGCAAAAAGGGTTAACCGAGGTGGTTTTTGCAACCGCCTCGGCAGAAAGGTCACGATAAATCAATGATTTACCAAGGCGGTTCAAATGCCCACCACGGTAAATCGAATAAAAAACAAAAAAAAGAAAACCCGTGGATATAAGCCCGGCAAGCCCATCCACACGCCGCCGCTATGCTCACAGGACCTGCGCCGCCACCGATCCCACCGCCGCACTCGCTCGCTAGATCGGGGTCCTCCTCGCCGGATCAAGCATCTCCTCATCAGATCTGGTGGTGGCCGCTCAGATCCGGTCTCGTCCTCGTCGGATCGAGCTCATCCTTACCGAAGGAGAGAGGGTGAGGGAGACCGCACCCTCCAGCAGCATGCGGGAGGAGAGAGGGTGAGGGAGACTCGCCGCTGGAGCCATCGAGTCCCATTGCCGCTGGTGCCCGATGGAAGGCCGCGCCACCAAGCCTCGCCACTGCGCCGCCGGAGGGAGAGAGGGTGTGCCAGGCTAGCTCGGGCCGGCACCGCTGTAAGGTCGAGATGGCGGACTAGAGGGGGGGGTGAATAGTCTTTTCTAAAATTAATCGCGTCGGCTAACCGATATAAATGTGGAATTAAAACAATCGGTCTAGCCAAGACTACACCCCTCTATATATGCTCACTAGCACCTTGCCAAGATACTAATTATGCAACTAAGGTGCCGGGCTAGCTAGAGCTCTCCTAAACAATTCTAGGAGCAAGGTCACACAAACCTATGCCACTAGTACTTTAAGCAACAAGGGAGCTCCTACACATGCTAGTAAGCAAAAGCACAAAGCTAACTAAGCTCACTAGCAATGCTCAATAACAAGGCAACCAACGCCTAATTAGAGAGCGCAAATACTTAGCTACACAAACTAAGCAATGTGACTAACAAGGTTACTAAAACCAAATTAGCCCGCATAAGGAGCTACTTCTATGCTACACAAGCAAGAAGGTAATTAGCTAGCTACACAAGCTATCTAATTACAAGAGCAACTACACAAGCTTAAGATATATATATAAGTAATTGCAAGCTTGTGTAATGGGGATGCAAACCAACAGGAAGAACAAGGTTGACACGATGATTTTTCTCCCGAGGTTCACGTGTTTGCCAACACGCTAGTCCCCCGTTGTGTCGACCGCTCACTTGGTGGTTCGGCGGCTAATTAGCATCACCCGCTAAGCCCGCACGCGTCGGGCGCCGCAAGAACCTACTACCCTTGAGTGAGGGTAGCTCAATGACACGCTTTACTAGAGTTGCTCTTCGCGGCTCCATGGCGAGCACAATGCCCCTCATAAGCACTTCTGCGAGCGCCGCACAAGCTTCTTGCGGGCTTCGACGGAGACCACCACCAAGCCGTCTAGGAGGTGGCAACTTCCAAGAGTAACAAGCACCACCGGCTTGCAACACGACCACCTAGTGCCACTCGATGCAACCTCACGATGCAATCACACTAGAATCGCTCACTTACACAATCGAATGATCACTATCAAGTATATGTGTGATGGAGGGCTCCCAAGCACTCACAAGCATGGACACTAAGTCCCTTGAGGTGCTCAAGATCAGCCATGGCCGAGGGCCACTTCTATTTATAGCCCCAAGGGCTAAACTAGCCGTTACCCTTCATCGGGCAGCGGTCGGGCCGCCGGACGCTCCGGTCGTGTTGACCGGACGCTGGACCTCAGCGTCCGGTCGCCTGACACGCCACACGTGCCCGGTTCCAACGGTCACTTGACTTGACCGGACGCAAGAAGTTATCAATCGACCGGACGCTGAACCCCCGTCCGTCCGGTCGTTTCAAGTAAGGTACCGACCTCGACCGGACGCGTCCGGTCACACTTGATCGGACGCAGCCAGCGTCCGGTCACACTCCAGCTTCTGCGTCATCGTACGTCAGCCTGACCGGACGCAGCCCGCCAGCGTCCGGTGCATTCAGATCCAGTGTCCGGTCAGTTGACCGACGCCAGCATCTTCGCGACTAACTCGTTTTCACTTCTAACTTCATCACCCTTGCTCCAATGTGCTAACCACAAGAACTTGCATCCGGCGCAATAGAAAATAGGCATTCTATTTTCCCGAAAGCGCCGAATCCCGCCGAGCTTGCAAACACCACCTCCTTTGTAAATGTGCCAACACCACTAAGTGTAAAA